TAATGTTTGATTTATGGTTAAAATATTACTCCGAAAACTAAGTTTTACTCAAAATTTAATTATCAAAAAAATATTCTGCCAAACATTTTTTCTTCTCAAGGGACATTATCAAATTAAAGTAAAACTTATTAAATGATTAGTCTGAAAGATATTAAGACCCATTGGTGGCCTTCGGCTGTTTTCTGCTCTATGGTCGGGTTGTTGTCTCTTTGACACATTCCCCACTTCCATTCTCAATTTTATTGAAAACAAATTATTTACAAAAACTTTTTATTATCAATAACCATTACGCTCTTAACTTTTGATCAAATGACCTGAAAATCAATACCACCTAAAGATTATAAGCCATTAAAGGAGGGGGAAAATATATCTAATGGTTCAAAATATATTTTCTGGAAACGAAATTTCAGTCCATTTAAAGGCACTGTGACATTTAACTTGGTTCCAATGACCCAAAAATCAATGAGACAGGTTCAAGTTTAATTTGGTGCAGGTTATACCCAAACCTTTGCCACAATTTTAGTCTTTAAATTGAGCTGTGACCTTAACCTTAATTAGACTTGAAATAAATAGGTGTTTGATGTTGTTGAATAAATGCCACAACAAGTAATCAACCAAAATTTAAATGTTTGTTGTTTATATCATACTTACGAAAGGAAGGCAACGAAACAAAATCCGATAGTAATATAATCATTGCACACATTGAATATGCAATAAATAGACTTATAAGGTTTTTTCTCGAAATGATGAAAAATAACAAATGAACTGGTATCATCCTTTTGACGTTACCGAATGTCATAACTAATAATCAGCGACGGAAAGACGCACTAGCGGATTGAAACAAAGAACTAATAACAACTCGACCCAAGGAGTAGAGCCACGAAGGGTTAAAAACGGCCTTGTCTCAGAAATTGACGAAAATACTGCAGAAAGATCACTAACTAGTGTAGTTCATAAAATGATTAGCATAAGATTTGTAACTCTGTTTGTATAATTTTCCAAGGTGTCAGAAAAGACCAAGGTACAATGGTATTTTAGTCATTTGTGCGTAACGTTAAAATTGATTTCATTAACGTTCTAGTAACTTTATAATCATTTCACTACAAGAATTGTTTTTACAAAATATTTCTTGAATCTCGTCCATATATCTTGTTTTTTTTAACTCTATTAACATAAACTTACTAGTATCAAGGATTAAGCTGAGCATAAGCGCTTCAAATAAATTTTGTATAAGTGGCCCGAATACTCGTTTCCTGCATTGATATTCACGAAATAGAAATTGTAGAGACCATGTAAACAAACATAAATCTATAGCAAAGCTTAAATTCAAAGTATAAAGGATTTTCAAACATAAGCAATGAATGTCTTCAATTGGACAGAATGAATTTAGATTGAAAGCTTAAAAATATCTTGACGAGCACTGGCGAGTACAGTCGTAAACAATTTGTGAGGATAGTCAATCACAACACAGATACCAGAGTATGGTAGAATTCCTAGCCCATAGGGATAATGATAGCCTTTTTAGAATTTTCACCACTTTCTAACACTGCCCAAAATTCTACATACGCAGTTAACTGAAGAACTTTCATTATAATATTCCAAAAATAATTTGAATATGCATGATGACCGTTTACTTTTTTTGCTATCTTTATAAAGCTAAGACCACTAGTGCTTTTAGGTCTTTTATCATGCAGTGAATACAAAATTTCAAAAAATTCTCAAAAATTCATTTTCACCTGTTTGTAAAATTATTTCATATTTTTCTACACCTTATTCATCCCTCAGTTTGGGAAAGTATGTTCAGTAGATACTGTATTTTTTTTCCAATCATACTGTTCAGATACATTGACTTAAGAAGGGTACACAAAAGAGCAACCTAAATTCCGGAATGTAAATCCTACCGTGCCACCTTATAGAGGCAATGTGCGCAAATAAACATGTTCTCGTCCGGAATATGCATCTAATTTTGCCGATCGACGTTGAACAGTCATACATCATCATCTTCATGAGACAAACAACTCATGTAGTAAAATGGTGTGTTTCTTTGATATTCAATATTCGTTTTTTTTTTCCTTTTTCCAAAAGAGTGAAATAATAGACGTGTATATATCATGTATATCTGCCCAAAAGATTAAATGAATCTTTTATTATTGATTTAATTATTTTCAAAGTCATTATTGTACTGTAATTTTAAGGGAAGTATTATTGATAGTTGTTTGACGAACGTCCAGCAAATACTGAATGCATATTTATGACGGAGAGCAATTTAAAGAATGTATTTCTAACAAGAAACAAGAAATTGCACGTGTTGTCATTGAAAATAAGAGAAAAGTCTCCAAGGGAAGGGGAATAAAGAATCATAAGTTCAATAAAACTATACAACACCATGAACATAAAGAGGCCTCAAAAAGTAAAACAGGAATAACAAAATAAAAAAACAAGTAACTACAGATTGAACACGAACCTCGGGCCACCACAAAAACCGAAAAATTAGAAAAATAAATTTATCTCATAGATATTTTATTCATAGTAAGCAGCCATATTATATTTCATTTTGTTTTTGGTCGGTTGTAGCATAGTCTCACCCAAATTTTAATAGGGACCACTAAAAGGGACAAAATAAACAGCTGCTCCTTTTATGTATTCTAACCAATTATGCACCCTATCCCGTGTGAATATCAGATATTTATTTGAAGTAACCCAAGATATATCACTGTGTCGGATAGTTTTGTTTCATCTTTATTTCAATTTTCATTTGAAAACAAATATTTGTTCTGGTTTAATGTTACGGACAGTATACACCATGCCCTCTCATAGCGTCGTTATTTTAATTTTAATTGAAAAAATATTGAAAAGCTTATTTAACCACTGTGCAATATGATATCAAAATTGTCACGTGGTTTTCTTCATATGTCCTACGATTTACAATGTATGTTATGGTCACAATTCTGTAATTTATTTTCACCATCCGTAGTAATTATTGAAAATGTTAACTTGGCATGACATGCTTTATAGAAAATGCTGACGTGAAAGAAAGCACTTCAACAAAGCGTCAACATGAGATTACATTCCACGGAGGTTACATTTCGACGATTTCGTCTTTATAAAACAAAATACGTGATTATGAAGGGAAATTTGTAATAAATTTAATGTTGACACCGATATTGTTCTGCTGGATGAAGAATTTTACGGAGAAATACTACGGCTCTTATTTGAAACTGCCCTATTTTTGTTTGCATAGCAAAGCAAAGACCGTGCTAATTATTTCAATATTAACAGAAAAAAAGATAATAAAGAAAATATCATAAATAAAAAAATAATTAATCATAGAATGTATTTCTATTTATACCAATTGTACAAGTTCTTTGTACAGTTATTTCGTCACAGAATATATCAAACTCCCCGGCAGTTCCAGCTCCGATCGGCATACTACCTGATTGATGGAGTAAAGGAACATGGAACTGAAAAGATCTCTGTACGGAGTTTGAGAATAAGTCGTACCTCGGAAATGGAGGCGTTGAATCAGGATTCGCTTGTTAGCAAAAGTTAAATTTTCGATGTGGCCACAGGCGTCGACCACGCTAAATATTGTTGCAAACTGAGTCATAGTTTCAAACAATCAAAATAAGAGTAAAATTACTTTGGTCGAGGCCTGAGGCCAATGCGAAATTTAACCAGGAAGTGTGAAATTCTTCAATTTTCAATAATTACTACGGATGGTGAAAATAAATTACAGAATTGTGACCATAACATACATTGTAAATCGTAGGACATATGAAGAAATCCACGTGACAATTTTGATATCATATTGCACAGTGGTTAAATAACCTTTTCAATATTTTTTCAATAAAAATTAAAATTACGACGCTATGAGAGGGCATGGTGTATACTGTCCGTAACGTTTAACCACAACAAATATTTGTTTTCAAATGAAAATTAAAATAAAAATGAAACAAAACTATCCGACACAGTGATATATCTTGGGTCACTTCAAATAAATATCTGATATTCACACGGGATTGGGTGCATAATTGGTCAGAATACATAAAAGGAGCAGCTGTTTATTTTGTTCCTTTTTAGTTGTCCCTATTAAAATTGGGTGAGACTATGCTACAACCGACCAATATGTTCTCTTCAAGAATTTTGACATTTTCAGCGTTACGGTTTGATTCCGGGTATTACGTCACATTAATGACGTCATAAAATATGATTTTATACTATAATAACAAATAAAGATATTCGTAGATATGTTGTAGCTATAAAGGATCCATTATTTCTCTTTTGTTTTTTTTTTGTCACTTCACAGGGCCAATATCGAAACTTCGTGGCTATACTCCTTTAGCTTAGACTTCACTACAGTTTGGGCAATATATCTATTTTCTTAGGAAAAAGCTGTAATTTCATCGCCCTGTTATTGTCTTTCCTATTATTGAAAAATCATCTACATCCAATATAAGCATGTAATACTATTGCTAAGACTTTGCACTGAAATTAATTTTTACACTGAATAATATTTATAGCTGACAGAATACTTCCGTCATATTATACTCCCATCTCCTGACCATACAATTAATTCTTCTATTGAAATTTCTGTCAGAATCAAGAAAAGACAACAATTTGGAAGACGACTTTTCAGTCTCATATAAAAAAATATATAATTAACTGTCATTTGTTGATGTGGGATCTTTTGAACGAATAAATAGACAGCACATACCCGTTCTTTGCAAAATCATATCTTATAGATGTCATAGTAATAAGCTTAATATTTTTTCAACTTGTCTAAAGAGAAGGGTCTATTAAAAAGGAGAAATACCAAGGGGACAATAAAACAATAAATTGAAGAAAAAAAAACCAACACGATGGCCAAAAGATAAATGAAAGCTAGACCAACCCCAGTTTACAAAACTTTCCAAAAATAAGATTTAGCAACACGTATTCCACAAAAAAAAACGGGGGTAAACTTATATAAAATAATTCATAAAAAAGTATGATGCAGTACATATTGTTGATTTATATTTCGTTGCTTCACAATAAAATAGACATTGTCATATGAGCATTTTATGTTGCTACATGTCCAAAGTGGTGAACCAGACTCTGGAAACTAAAAATATAAAATAAAAGAAAGATAATTTGATAAGTAATATCGATATATCTATTTGTATTATAGCGCAGTATTGATTCTTTATTACTCTCATATTGAATTTTATGAAAAGAAAGAAAAAGAGGATGTTTTCAGATTTGTTTGTTTTCTCAAACGACAGTATTCAACCAACAGCTGTAGGCACCTTAGCTAGCGTTCTGTAGTAGCGAGCACATTATGATGTTGTATTCCAAAATTGTATGCTTTTTTTATTTCGATATTTAGGAAAGTGGTAAATTTGTTGGTAGGTGCAATATGCATGGCTTTTATTGTATATTTTACTTTTACGACATATGGTCTAGATAGGCATATGGAGCTAGTATGTTCGCACCTAATACTGGTTTAACCCATCCATAGTGTGTGCCTGTACCGAGTCAAAATATTTGTACCATGCATGTGTTGTTATTTGTTGTTTATAAGTCAAATGTTTCTCCAACATTGTATGGAAATTCATGTTATGTTTATATTTGTTATGAACGGTTCAGATTGCAATACCTCACTAACTTAGTAAAACGTTTCTTTTTATTATTATTTTCAATATAATAAGCTTGGTTTCTTTGATAAATTTTCATGACAATCACAATCCTCATTAATAAAAAAATTGTAAGCAGGTTGACAAAAGGATAGAACCTATTGCCCTTAAATCTTTATAATTCAGGCAGAGTTGCTCTTAAAATATCTTGGCTGTTCTGTTCGGACCCTGACAGTTTTAAAATGTCGTTATTAAGAGTTTTATGTATTTTCTATTCAAAATTATTGGTCTGGGGTAAATGGTGTTCCACAAATATGTCTCATGCGCCGTACAATAGATTTCATAATTTCAACTATGTCTGACAACTATATTCAATGAAAATTGTTTTTATAAGTTTTGATTTTTTTTAAATATGTTTTATATCAAACTACAAGGGCAAATAAATGTCGAAGAGTGCACTCCAACAGTTTTGTTTTTAAACTTCAAAAATACAAGCAGTCAGATGCATTGCAAGCTTGAGTTGACGAGAAATATAGAACGTTCATACATCTTTTACATGATAATATACAACTCCTCTCTAATGATAAGGAATTCGTAAAAGCAATATATGTTTACCTTTTACAAACCAGGGGACAACCGAATTGCAGGAGATGATCTTGTTTGATGAGTGTGTGGCATTCAGTTTCACATGCCTGTTCAGTTCCATTAGTACCTAATGTACCTACTAACCCGTCTACTAATGTTTTCAGTTCATCGGTTTGAAATAAAGTATCTAAAATATGACAAAAAAGTCTGTCACAACTTTCAAAAGCTGCTTATAATATAAATATGTTTTATGTTTTCACATATTAGTGATCGACAATAATCCTTTATAAGAAAACAATGACTAGATTCGGGATGATTTAGAGCTTGTCAAACTATATAGACATCTGTCAATTTCTGATGTCATCTTCGTTTTCATATGTTTCGCTGGGATGCTTTCTCAATGATATCTATATCTATTATTTCTTTTTATTCACACAAGTAGAATTTCAATTTTTCAAGAAGTCTCGAAGTCCTATCTTAATGCTATTTGATGGGGTTTTGCTATTGTAACAGTTAAACTTCAAAAGGACAGTTTTTTTCTCAGGACTGTCTCATAGAAATGGAGGAGCCAGTGAAACAAATTTCACTGATCAAGTCCACTTGGTTGAATTTAAATTTTTTGTTCTGCATAAAACTTTGAGACTCTTTCGAATTTTTTTAAGTCTTTTTTGGCCGATATGCATCGTTTATATTTATTATTGTGCACAAAAAAATCGGAAGATAACAAGAGAACATTGAAACATCATATGTCGATGAAACCTGACAACGCCTTGACTAAAAACGAGAACCGACGGAATGACAACCAAGTCCACAAGCACTACATTGAAAACTAAAGACTGACCAAACTAAACCCACTACAAACCATGGGTGAGTGCAGGTTCTTTCCTGTTCCTGCTTCACATGTGGTACCGGTCGTGTTGCTCATGGCAGAACTAAGTCTGTGATAAGTCTCATTCGATGATAGCACAATCGGGGGAAAGAGGACGGGATTGTGGTTCCGACAATTGAACATATCCGTGTCATCTGTGATACAGAAGTTCCATAACGTTCAACCAACTCGCAATAGCGTCCGTTTCAAAGGTTTGACTTCAACTTTGCAACATGAAAAACTAAATATAACTTCGTACTGAAGAAAATTATTTTATATGCACAAGTTGAAAACAACTACTGTTTAATTAAAGATTTGTTAATCTATCTATTTATATATTTACGATATATTTGGAATATTAACAGATGAGGTAGGAACACTCCTAATACAAATTAACCAAAAAGGACGTTCAGTTCATGAATTATAAAACTTCATTTCATATTTGAAGAAATTTACCATAACAAGATATTTTTCATTAAAATGTGCGAACGCAAACATTTCATTTTTTTTTAATGTTCAATATAAAAACTTGCAGAACGAACACATTTTCTTTCGCTGAAAAATATTATCAAACTGAAAATGAAATAAACAAATCATAATTTGTTTTTATTCGATACAATTTTCAACTTCTTGAAAGTGAGAAAAAAGATGTACATTGTAAACCTTGAGCTATCGGTTTCCTAAATAAGTATCGACACTTTAAACATATTGCAGATAAAATGAGATTTCACTTAATTCTAAGGTTGAACACTACCTTGCGCATTCGGAGAATACAGATGTATTTTGAAATACATACCAAACCAGCAAATCACGGAAAACCTTTCAAAATCAAATGTTCGAAACATAGGATCTTTTGTCGAACCACAAAAAAAAAAAAAATAGAGAGAGAAAGAAATCAGATGAACAACATTATTTGTTCCTATAGAATATCTTCTAAAATCTTAGAAATGTGTTTGGATCAAGCTTCGAAACTATAGTTGACTCTTCTATAAGATATAATTTGTTGTGCAGTAAAACACTTTCAATCATTCTATATTTGACTGTCATAAAAGTGAGCGGTTTAGCTAGTTATTAAACCAGGTTTAATCCTCAATTTTGTACATAAGGAAAAACATGAACCAAGTCAGAAATATGACAGTTGTTTTCTATTCGTTTGATGTGTTTGAGCTTTTGATTTTGCCATTTGATAAGGGTCTTTCCGTTTTGAACTTTCTTCTTTGAAGTGCGGTATTTTTGTTAATTTACTTTTTAGTTATAATACTACCAAAACAACAAAGCTGTTACATGTTTCATCATAAAACAGTACACATATAATATATAACTACAGTTTAACTTTATTTGAAATACCATATTTTGGGTTTATTACATACAAAATAGAAACAACGTTTTATCAATTTCATATGTCAGGTTTGCTTTTCTTGATTTACCTTCGTCAGGATCGCTTAAATCTGAATATTTGAAAACCAATGCTGTATAAGAACCGAATCGATTGAAGAGCTATATGACCAAAAAGAACATAAAATTTATCTAAGGTCAACCTTGTCTGTACGAGTTGAAACCTTAGTTTCTTAAAGAAAAAATCACTGCCCAGTGAGCACTTACCAAAAACGAGTCTTTTCTGTGGCATAGAAAATACCACTGGTAACAACAACAATATACCAAAGGCAAGTTTCATTTTCAAGTTTTTAACTGAAAGTAGATAACAATAGTTTAATTAAAACGATAACTACTTTAAAATCAAACCGAATACAGTGTATAATCTAGAAATGTCGATATCGGTCGTGTTCGAACTTAATTCAAAGTTGTTCAATGATTTGCAAGTTTTCTGTACAGACCCTGAATATCATAGGTTCACGATGAAATGTTTTGGCAAATAGTAATAACTATAAACAGAATTACTATATAAAGTTATCATATTCTTTTAATATAGCATGTGTATGTGAAAAAAACAGCAGGATGTAAGAGTTTTGTCTAAAATTTCCTTGAAATGATTCTATAGGAATAAAAATTCTCAAGACCCAACCTCAATAATCGGATATCTATATGTAGCTGGACCAATAACTTCAAGCAAAAAGATACCTAACAAAATAGATTGATGTGCTGCATGGAGTATTTACATCTATAAATTATAGTCCCCTATAGTCGGACCTTATTCAAACATAAACATTTAATGCGAATACATCGAGAAGATCGTACATATGTACAAAAAGAGAGACGACCTATTCACAAAATTATAAAATATATTTTGGTAACGTAACAGTTAAAGACGTGTGACGACAGTTTCAAAACAAAGAACGGAGGAATGATTATATTTTGTCTAAACCTTAGTGGCATAATCCGCCCCTTAATGTTTTCTATTTCTTTTCTAAATTAGTAAATAAAAGAGGATGTGTAATTGCATTTTGTATAGAAAGACTTAAGTACTAGTAACAAAAAATTGTTGAAGGAGTGAAACATGCATCGGATGGTTCGAGATCATCTAGCTTCATATACACAAGTACTGTAAAACGTATGTAGAATATGAGAAGAATAGAAAGTTGTCTTTTCATTTATTGTTACTGGTATATGGTATCAAAAGATTTCTTTTATGTGCTGATAACTGAACTAAAAGTTGAGATATTTTTGTTTCAATGGAAAATGCATGCATAAGTCAAGTATGTTTCAGCTCATTAAAATAGCTTTACCAATAAACTAAGTGTAACATAATATGATATTGACTGCTTTTATTAAGCACATTTGAACTAATGCCTTGCTACATTGACCATTATTATGAATACGTCTTACCTGATTGCAATGGAATGTGGTGTGAGACAGTATGAACGCATGCTTTGTCTTTTATAGTATCATGAAACCTCTAAGTATCGATAACCTTTATTGAAATTAGCACGTTTGAACTAAAAATGTGATAACTTATAATCCTACAGACATTCCACTTTGTGACATCGGCTGTAAGCATGTAAAACTTTTTGCTTGTTATAAATAAACTCTTGTTTTGGAACATCCTACAGAACAAATCAGACGAGAATGTTCTTGAAA